TTTTATGCTCAGACTTAATGAAAATCAACATTCTTTATGAAGTGTGATAACAATGATGAGAAGTAGGCTATCTACAATCACGTAGAGCAGAAGCGATCGCGTGTCCATTCCAGTAGATCCTCATGAACCATGCCACAGCTAATATTGATTTACAGGGAGCTATGACTCATCGGTGATGGTAGTTGCATTGCACGATTTTATTCATTGGGATATGGTGAACATACACATGCAACAAGAATACAGTCGGTTCTGCAAACAACATTCTCAACAGAGCGGTTTGAAGCAGGCCATGAAACAAAATTGCTCAAAGTAAGGTAATTGTGCCTTCCACCAGGATAATGCTGGACCGCACCTGAATTTGACCACACGGCAAGAGTTAATAGAGCTTGGTTGGGATCTCTTCCCGCATCACATGGACCTAACCCTACACTAAAGGTCTGCCGTCTCTCCCGGTTTTTGAAAGACATCTTTGATGGAAAGTAATACAGTGCTCAGGGAACCACGAACAGCGCCTGCAGGAGTTTGTTTGATCTCAGATCGGAACTTCCTATGAGAGCGGGATAACGAGGATCACGTGAAGGAGGCGAAGTTTTAACAAAGAAAATGGATACACATCACATATGAAACCGAACTGCTTCGTTAGAAATTTCATTTTCCAATTTAACCTCAATATCAACGAGCACTTTCCGGACAACCAATTGCAATCGCTTACTGGCATCAGTGCTACTCACCACTATGCTAAGGCTCGGCCTGGGTAAAGAAGCGATTCCTATCATCAAAGCTCACTTTTAGCAGGGTTATATCGATTTTGATGGAGAAGGCAGTAACGCCAAACTGGCGCCTGTAGTCGTCATATCTACACCGCTAGCGCTAAGAATGAGTGCTATGTCTGTGAGAACGACAATCGATCACCTCTGAACGCAGTCGATGTACGCACCAGTCAGACGCTAAAATCAATCTTTATTATTGGCCAGGTTACTGGCTAATGACGTGGAAGAACTTAATTTTAGCAGAATTCTTTTTGAGATTTTGGAGTGATAATAGCCGAATAGTGCCAATATTACTCCTCCCATAAGACGTACCATGCCTATTTAGTGTAATTCGTCCTCTTTGTTATAATAAAGTTAATATCATCGTCAGGGAGGATCAATGCTGGAAACATAATCGCCAGCTCACCCAAGCAAGACGTTGGCCTCCTAAACGTGTGCAAGGTACGTTAGGTTTTGCAACTGATTCCAGTAAAGTCGTATTCTCTCTTGAACTTGAACACGACGCATTCGTTATTTTGAGTTCACAGAATCAAGAAAGTTAACAGCTGCGCTGTACTCATAAAGGTCGTTGTCATTTCATAGTGTCTCCATAGTACCAGCACCCAGTCCGATCCGCGAGACCATAACCCAGTCCGATCCGCGAGACCAATAGGAAGCTGACCAGATTGGACCGCTCTGCATTCAGAATCCCTCGTGGAGGGACAACCTTATATAGGGCCCTCAGTCCCCGCGTGGTAGTGAGGCACTCCTCCCTCCGGTTCATTTACGGATCGATGACCTGGATCCAGAATGCCTCGAGCGTTTGAGGTTTGTGCCTCTACGCGCCAGCCAAAAAGCCCTGGAGACCACACTCCCAACACATCTTCTCCGGGTTGTGGATTTTGGAGCCCCATGGGCCCAAGGCACCAAACCACTTCGTAGGGGACGTCGTCGGATCTTGTTCAATGTATCATCCAATGCTCTTTCCACAGCCCTCACGTCAAGAACGGAGCGAGACGAGACCGGTTCCGCGACTGTACTCGGTCCCCGCAGCTGCGAGAGGGTGGTAATTTTGTGAGTCCACCCCTGACATAGTACAACCACCCTCTTCGCCGGTCGGGCAGACCACACAATTGTGGGTTGTATAATACATAGGCTGTCGTACAATCGATTCCTCACCAGGCGGCACGCTTGATCCCATGCCAGCTCCCGGTAACAACAAGCTACTATCTAGCAGTCGTTCTACTAGCTATCTCCATTATGAATAGTGAGAGTGAGGTGATAAGGGAAAAGAGCTGATATCTTTATAATAACAACGAAAGGAAACTCGCACAGAGACGCCTTCCCCTTATTGTAGGCACGTACAAGTTGGGACCGGCATGAAACTTATATCGAGCAGTGGGACAGTTTTTTTTTCAGCTTTTTTCCACTCTGATTCGTTACCTAGCGCATTGTCGTTCGTATTTCAGCTCCACTACACATCATCTGTGGTCGCGAGCTTTGCTTTTAAGCAAGTCCGCTTTTCATGTGCGTTGAAAGAAAGAACTGCGAATGGTACCTTCGTGAGTGTTGGTTTTTGTTTTCTTTTCTTCAGGGCGTCTCGGAGTTTTACAGTTTCATGGGAAACTTGAATGCCGAAACCCGAATGTGTTCTCGTCTAACACACTCTCAAAGCAGCTGGCTTGGCGAATCGAGCAGCATGATCATAATCTATTACAAGTAAGGCAGCTCATGCTGGATTATACCGAACCATATGTAGTCTCCCCAGAGTCGCTTTGATCGACAGTTCTCAGAGGCGGGTGCTTAGGAAAAATAGTGGCACCAAATCGGCGCTGGCATCAGTCTGACGCGAAACAGCGTCGCTGTCAAAAATAAATGTCCGTGATAACTTGAACTCTCAAGAGACGATATACATTCTCCTCCTCTAAAGAACTTCCTATTTCATCACTGGTAGGCAGAAAAATAATTCAATGTACTGCTGGTCTGATTAGAGTTTCCTCCACACCAGGTACAATCACAACACAGGAGAATGTAAATCAGGTCTGATTGAAGTAAGTGATTGTACCTGGCGAGGAGTGGTGTGGTCCATGTACAATCACATTCTCCAACTAGACCTGATATGCATTCTCTTGTGATTGTCATTGTACCTGGCGTGAAGGAAAGTCCAATTAGATGCATCAAATTGTTCCCCTGCTTGCCAGGAATGTGTCGCGGAATCCGCAACAGGCTGGTCGCATCGGGCCCCTTCGGGAGGAGGGAAGAGTCATATTTGCAGAGATCAGTAGCGAACACAGAAGCGACGTAGCTTGCAGCATGGGTGATGCGTTTGGAAAGGAAGTCGAGTTATGGCCATTCTATGGAGGTGTTGATCAGCGCTATTGTGGGCTGCGCCGCGTATTGATAGGCTCATTGCATAGTAGTTTCCAAAGAGGTATAACTCTATTGAGAAACCACCTTCCACAGAGCGGCTAGAACGACATGAGCGGCTAGAACGATTCAAAATTGTGTGGTTTTATACGAAATACGCTACAGGTTTCATCAAGCTTGCATGACGGCTTCTGGCCAGAAAATAACGCGGAGAATTTCGGGCGAACGCGAGTTCTTCACTTTCAATGGGAATAACTTCGTTTAGACATAAAGATAAGCACCCGTTCTAAGAACTGTCGATCAAAGCGACTCTATAGAGACTACATATGGTTCGGTAGAATCCAGCATGAGCTGCTTACTTGTCATAGATTATGATCATGCTGCTCGATTCGCCAAGCCAGCTGCTTTGAGAGTATGTTAGACGAGAACACATTGGGATTTTGGCATTCAAGTTTCCCATGAAACTGTAAAACTCCGAGACGCCCTGAAGAAAAGAAAACAAAAACGAACACCCATGGAGGTACCATTCGCAGTTCATTCTTCCCAAATTTTTCTCGTAAAACGCACATGAAAAGCGGACTTGCTTAGAAGCGAAGCTCGCGACCACAGATGATGGGTAGTGGAGCTCAAATACGAACGACAATGCGCTAGGTAACGAATCAGTGTGGAAAAAAGCAGAAAAAAACTGTCCGACTGCTCGGTATAAGTTATCATCCCAACTTGTACGTGCCTACAAGTAAGGAGAGGCGTGTCTGTGCGAGTTTCCTTTCGTTATTATTATAAAGATATCAGCTCTTTTCCCTTATCACCTCACTCTCACTATTCATAATGGAGATAGCTAGTAGAACGACTACTAGATAGTAGTTTGTTGTTACCGGGGGCTGGCATGGGCCTAACAAGGGAATGGTTTGAAGTTCCCATGGAACTTTGAATGGAGACCTATGTACATCGATGGAGTCTCGAATGCTGATTACGAAGATCTGGGTGGTCAAAGCTCATCTGCAAGCTGCAGTTTCGAAGATCGGCGCAGAGAGGTGGTCAAAGTTTGCGAAAAGCCAGTTTTGGCTCGTAAGCGCTGCTGATCGATGCCTCGGCAGTGCCACCGTGGCCTCGTGGTAATGGTCTCGCTTTCAAGTCAAACGCATGCGGGTTTGCATCCGGTTGGCGCGAAAATTTTTGCTTCGCTCCGTATAAGAGCTTCAACTCTAATTTTCGAAATTCTTCCGAATTTACGGCCCAGCAGGGCAAGTAGATCAAGTACATCAAGTATACGACGTACTCGATCTAGTATGGATTTGGTCATATCTGCCCTCTCTGAACATATACCCATCCGACAATTCAAAGTTTTGCCCAGAATCGCAATTTGGCCAGACGAGCGTTTTTTCGTCGAAGGATGTGATATTCGTGTTCAGGGGGTCGAAATCTCCCATGAACGAATTTCTCGCTAAAACTTTGAATTGTCGGATGGGTAATATGTTCAGAGAGGGCAGATATGACCAAATCCATACTAGATCGAGTACGTCGTATACTTGATGTACTTGATCTACTTGCCCTGCTGGGCCGTAAATTCGGAAGAATTTCGAAAATTAGAGTTGAAGCTCTTATACGGAGCGAAGCAAAAATTTTCGCGCCAACCGGATGCAAACCCGCATGCGTTTGACTTGAAAGCGAGACCATTACCACGAGGCCACGGTGGCACTGCCGAGGCATCGATCAGCAGCGCTTACGAGCCAAAACTGGCTTTTCGCAAACTTTGACCACCTCTCTGCGCCGATCTTCGAAACTGCAGCTTGCAGATGAGCGAGCGGCATTGCATACGACCTTTCATCACCATCGGAAGGTCCTGATAAGGACAAAGTCTATTTGTATTCTGGTTCTAACGCTGTAGAAGGTGATAAGATGGGAATCACGTTTACGGAATTGTGTTCGGAATGACGGGACTATGGATACCTGCACACTCACGGACTCGCTCACCATCGGCGCTTCGTGACCGAATCCATCATAGTTTGAATAAAGCGATTCGGACGGTTTTTTAGGTCCCAAAGGAATTTCGTTAGCCAGTTTTTGTAGTTGGGAAGAGTAGTTACGAGCATTCAAATCACATTATAGTTGAAAACTTTCGAAACAAAGCTTGAGCGCGAAGTAATTGATGTGATTTACATGGAATTTTTCTAAAAATTTTTTATAAATGATGTTTCTACGCATACCACATTTCATATGACGCATCTTAACCACGTTGTAACGCTCAGCTTTACCCTTCTAACCCTGTGTTTTCGTTTCACTATTAGGATCTTTGATTGCACTTTTGAAGTTTCTTTCTAACTCAAACTAGTGAACGCGAGAAATATTACGGGAGCCAGAATCAACATGAGAACTAGGTCTTTGCAAACCACTTTTTTGGAGGCACCTTACTTTTCGTGATAATGGCCTTTTTCTGTGATTGTGCCTTTTCAGAATCTCGGTCTCCAAACAACCCATGATAACACCGAAGTTATCCACAAGAGCGATGTTATATTTCTTGCAGTGAAACCACCACATGTTAGCAAGGTAGCATTATTTTCTTAAGATATGTCGATACGAGGGCATGTATAATAGACTACTTCATCAAGAAGAACGTCGTAAGCAATAGATTTACGCAGGTTGCATCTGAAATAGCTCCGATATTGAACAGGGAGCAGCTGGTCGTCTCTATTGCACTGGGTATTACAATACGGAACATTGAGTCGGTACGACCATGTTGTGATTCATTTCCCACCCTTGATGAGTTCGTTTCAGTAAAGAAAACTGGTCCTTCTAGTTACTGCCTTCAAAATCTCGTGTAGTACGTGTGATGCCAAACACACCAGCTGTGGTTCGAGCGGGAGCATCGGCCTTTGCTGTCGGTTCTGCTTGTCGAGATGGTGACGCAGAGCTAGTGAGGTATTTTTCCTTGTGTGATTATTTTTTAATACATCTGATAAAAACATTTCTCCAACATAAAACCTCAATGAATGCGCATGTCTATGATATTTTTGAATTTTTACGTATACTGAATGTTAAAAACTTGATGTAAAACAATACAGGTCTACGGAGTCATTCAGGTCGAGGTGTGAATCACTCTTATTCGACTCATGTTTCGGTGCGGTCGTCTTGTTCAGATCGTGAAAAATAGAAAGATGTTCAAGAACCTTCGTCGCAAAGCAATTTTAAAGCGGGAAAATTGAAAAGGGGCGGAAACTAATAAGGCCTCATTAAGCTCATGGAAGCTGTGAAATTCTCAGAAAGAAAGATCAAGACTTGTCACCACGATGCTAATGATGGTTTTAAATGGATGACCCTTGGGTCAATTGCTTAAGGATCTCCGGAGGGTCTATTACGTAGACAAACGACAATCAAAGGCAACTAGACGCCTAGCGCGCGGCTTACACTCTGCTGCTCTTAACTGCTCTGAACTGCTCTTATCGATCATTTTATGGACCCAGGGCACGCCATCGCGTTGTCGCATTCCCTGAGAAAGACGCCCTCCCCTAATTCCATCCTCAAATACGACCCCTCTCTCCCCATGCTACCTACCACTTTCCTAGATTTCCCAACTTCCTACCACTTTTTCCATTTTTTCCCAAAAAATTTCCAGTTTTTCAGCCAAGAATTTTCCGTCGAGCGATGTGGGGGAGGGTATATACCCAATGTGAAACAGGAAAATTTCTTGGATTTTTCCCCCAGTTTTTCCAAAAGTTCCCGAAAAATTTGTGGTTTTCCCCAAAATTTTGCTGTCGAGCGGAGGAGGGGGGAGGAGGGGGGGGAGGTCGTCAGGATTTAACTATCATTTTCAACTATCGGAAATAGTAGTTGTATAGATCTTTGGCAGTCCCTCTCCCAACAACGACCAAATACGACCCCCTCCCTCGCGGTCAAATACGACCCCCCCGTTGTGATCATCACAACCATGGCGTGCCCTGTCCCAACCTCAGCTGGGGTCTTGCGGAATCGACTACGTAGTCCAAAAGTGACATAGATAAGCAAAGGGTGTCACAGTCGTAGCAAATGCCGCACTGCGAATGCCTAAAGGAATGAAAGAGGCGACATGAGTGAGAGTTCTAGTTTTACACGGGCAGAGAGAACATTTATGGCATACGTAGGGTAATGGAACAAAGGTGCCGGTGAAATCACGTTGTGACTATTGCTTAGACTTGTAGGTTCGTGGCAAGTGCCAGCTCAGGTTTGATGGTAAAGGTTAGGCTAAACATAAGTCTCCCTTACGCTGATCCTGGCGGCATGCGTCTTGTCATGCCGGGGCGCCTCCCTTCCTTCGTCATGCCTGGCGTCTCATCCTAAACTGAAGGCTTTTACTGCCCTTGCTAGCTGGCTTTCGATATCATTCCGTAATAAGGGTTCCGTAGCCAACTGGACTTGGACGTTGCGAAACGGCAGCTTTTTTCCGTGTGAGTTTCATATGTTCCATCTACTGGCTCATCAGACCAAACCAGGTATTCATCTCTACTATCAAAATGCCGCCAGTGTTAAACAGCAGTTTGTGAGGTGGTTTTTAACAGCAGTCTACCAGCAGCATGCCATTACAAAACCGAAGGTAATATCACCACATTTTCCTCCAGCTCAAACACAGTTCTTCGAACGGAATGAAGAGTCGCCTAATCGTGGTACAAAGTTATATCCAGTTAAGCAGGACAATGTGGAGCAAAGCCTCGTTCTCCGAAAAAGAACACACGGATTATTCTTCTGCGCAGATTATATCAGGCAGGGTGAATCGGCGCCGTGCTGTGCCATTTCTGAGTGTGAGCTGACATTGAACCTTGATCCAGGGCACATCGTTGTTGGGGATTCCCCAACAGGGGGTCGTATTTGGCCGCTGGGAGAGGGGGGGGGGTCGTAATTAGTCCCTTCACTCAGTAACGAGCAGCGCAAAGGTGTCAGTATGCTGGTCCTGTATAGCGAAACTTGCTTTGTAGAGAACCCGGATGTGTAAAAAAAATAGTACAAAACTTTCATTAACTGAACTAATCCAAATTAACTGGAAACATTAATAAATCATTTCGTAAGTACATAGATGACTAAACAGTGTATCTCACACCCTGGTTCGCTGCGGATTATGGGGTGTGTTCGAGTGGTACAACGCCGACTTGTTTTTTTCTTTCGACAAACGACAAGACTACCATATCGTTCGTATCAGACGTTTTCCAGCAGTTGGTCTCCTTTATCGGACTTAGCAAGTGGTGGAGCACGGATCTGACGGCGTGCGGTTGCCGTTCTCCGTTGCGTACAGTCCTCATCATTGACCGTTGAGGCGGCTGAGCCGTGCCGCACTGTGACGCGTCAGCGGCTGCGGCTCGGTGACAGTTGCCGCGGCGATCCTAACCAGACTGAACTCCTAGACAAGAAAGTCGGGAAGGTCTATAATAAGAGGTTGGTGCAAAAGAAAGCAAATTTTTCGTCTCAATGGTTTCAATACCTTCTTTTCTTAATAAACTAAGACTTTTTCACGAGATATATTCTATATGTTTTCGAGTTCTGACAAGTGGGTTCCACATGAATCGACGGGAATGCTGAAAAATCGTCGTTCTGAGAAGTTCGGCCCATCTTTTGCGCAATGCCAACTACTTCTTTCTCGAGCGGGTTGTCGCCTGCGATGAGACATGGATGATTTATGAGGCACTGTCAGCTACTCGACGAACACCATAAACTGCGAAGTACACTGCTCCACAAATCCATATCAACGATTTATTCAATTTGTTGTACACTTGTTACGGGATGAGGATTTGTTTGGTGGAACTATCGTCAGAGTGACCACTGTTCAAAAAAATGACGAAAAAAAACTTATTCTTATCGAGTTAGTTTTTGGTGTTGGCATGCGAATTGGCATTGGTAATTACCACAATTCCTACTTGGAGGCATTTTCGAAAACGTCGTGTAAGGCGGGATTCTGTAAGATTTATGGGTGGAACTATAATTGTGTGGAGCAGTGTATATGCCCGGCATTGATATGTAGAAGAAGGGCAATCTTACTCCATAAAAACGCTAGACCTCACGTCTCATTGATCACAGGGCAAAAGCTGCATAAGTTGAACTACAAAACTGTGGATCATGAATCATACTCGCCAGACCTTTCTCCTGCTGATTTCCATTTTTTCGCTTTACCTTGGCAATTTCTTGCGGGAAGAACTAAGATGATGTAGAAACTGCCTTTGATAAGTTCATCGCTTCCGGAACCCCAGAATTTTATGATATTGACGCTGGGAAGCTCGTTTCTTGTGATCAAGAGTGCGCTGATTGTAATGGCAATTATTCTGATTACATACTTTTTGTTAGAGCAGAGTTATATTAATTTAGATTCCAGGTAGAAGAACCTGCATTTCTTTTGTACCAACCTCAAACAGTGTACTTAAAGGCAGTTGGCACGATAAATCCCCCAAGACGAGTAGGATTAATACGCCTGGCAGGACGGAATTCCGCGACCCTGAGCAGGCGCTGCATAATGCCTTTTCCAAGGAAGGTGCCCTTATAAGGGCCCTATCAAGCCACAACATTACGACCCAAACGCCCGCGCCCGCCCGCCCACAAATGGACGACCGTTCCTGACGCTCTAATCGATTCATTTGCTAAGCAAATTATGAAGCGAAGGGATTGGTATGAAGCGGCCGTGATGCTGCATGGATATATGGGTACACATATGCAGCCGTACCTTCGGTAGCGGTTATTGGCAAGATGCCTACAGGAAACTCGTCCAAAATTGATTTCTAACACATTGAGAACGGAGGCTCTTTCTTCGCAGGATTTTGACCGTTTCACTCCGTTCTTTCGCCATTTCCCCACTATATAGCGCCCTACTAGCATTTTAGGCCGAGCACCAATCATCGTGCCAACTGCCTTTAATGCCTGCAACTGTTGAAGGCAAGAGCACCACAGATCGACGACCTACCCTAGCGACACTTCCAAAGAGACTAACTCTATTGCTATCGCGAACAATGAGACTCATTGTCTCCATGAGCTCGACTTCGTTGTGTACTTCACGGGATAGCCACTCGATAGCAAGCGCTTCGAGCAACTTCCTTTCCAATGGACCTTCTCTCGCGCGATGTAAAGCAGAAACCTTCAGGTGCTCGCTCTTGTAAAACGTCGTACAATTCCATGAGAATCCTTTTTTGAAGTGAGAGGAGGGATTCAGCAAAGCCCGTATGTGGTTGTCCATGGTTTTACCAACAAGTTTTTGATTGCCTCCTTCGCATGTGATTAAGCAAACTGTGCCTCTTAACTTTCCTGTACAGGACGTACAGTTACATAGTTGCGGCCACACTTCTCTTTATAGATCCGCTATGATGTCAGCAAGCTTCTGAGATTTTCTGTCGGTCGATTTGGCTTGATCAGAAGGCGGGACGGATTGATCGCATGATTAACTTTCTTTGCTGTTCTTTCGTTCACATACGGTGAACCCACTGGTATTTCTTCAGTAGCACAGCAAGGTTCTCGGTTGGTAGGCCGTGCATCCATTCTCTACCAAACTCCTTACTATTTTCCAATCCAGCTCCTCTGATCCCTTTGAATATGTCCTCGCCTTCGTAGCGGTTTCTTTTGACACGTCGGCCTTCATTAGAGTTGCTGTTCAAAAGGAGGATGGAGTCGGCTTTTCTCTATGTACAGTCCGTTTCAGTCAGAGTGTATGTGCGAAACAGCAAAACTCAGCAGAGTCGTAGAAGCAGAAGATAAAAAGTGAATTAACATCTGTGAGCGCGATGGGGCCGTCCGGGCGGGACTGGCGGAGGGGAAAAAAGTGATTTCGGCTTGAAGGTAGTGAGTTCTGTTCGAGTGGTGGTAAGTTCGGCTTGAAAGTGGTAACTTTGATTTGAAAGTAGGGATTCTGATTTGAGAAATGGTACAAAGTGGTGAATTTGGTTGCATGGATAGTGTCAAATGCTGCTATTGCCCACAGAGTGCCAGAACAGGGGAAATGTTAAGGTTTAGGTTTCTCACATCTCTTCTGGCATTGCTGCGATCCCTTGACTCAAAATAGCTCTTCAACTGCAAGGACACCATTAATTAGATACGGTTCGACATTTCTCGATAGCTTTTGGTGAAGCCACAAAAATCCAGCGCGGTTTGACATTTTGAGTCCTACTCCTATCGCCCCGACAGGGTTCTCTCTGCTGTAGCCTCGCGTCCACCAAAACAGTTATGGCTACTACATAATTCCTGCACAATGGAGTGAGAAAGCTTTCTTGACTATTAGTCAACAGCAAATTAAGGGGGTTAAAGGCAGAAGGCACGATAAATCCCCTAGGCATGTAAAATGAACACTCCGATCACCAAAGAATTCCTGCGTCCTGAGAAAGCCTTACATGATGTCTTTTCCACGCAAAGTGTATGCTAAGCTTCCTTGCAAGGCTTAGCACGTTCGCGGCGGCGCCGTTTCCTCAAAAACTCCCGTTTGTCGAGCGGCGCGTTCGCGGCGGGCGACACTTAGCCAATCGTCCCGTTTATGGTTCAGCGCGCACGGGGAGGATACAACTTCGCCAAAACATTATCTGTGCAAGCCCGAGGGTACAGGAAGAAGACCGTCCAGACGATGCGCCGGTTGTTACAGATCTTTGGCAAAGACTCACAGCTTCGCTCGCACTCGCAACCGTGAACCCAGAGTAAAGAGGAATTGTTCCTGTTGTGAAAACCATTACTGCCTCAACAGCTTTCGAAAAACTCACAAGATGTGCTCTTAATGTTGTTTCTATATTGTTTACCTTATTATTTGTATATAACAGCCAGTGAAAAGAAGAAAAATCATGAAAAAAACAAGTGAAGGGGCGCGTGTACTCCCGCGAGTAAACGGTTCGTATAAAGTGAAGAGTTTTCGCGTTTTTCTTTCTGCGGTACGCGCCTTTCGAATGTCTTAATATTATTCCCGTACTGTATGTTTTATTATGTGTATACGATTGTTAGTGAAAAGGAAGGAAAAAATAGCAAAAACTAGAGAAGAGGCGCTTGTACTCTCGGGAGTACACCATTCGCCTAAAGAAAAAAGTTTTTGAGTGTTTTTCCGAGAGTACATGCCTTCTTCTAATGTGTGCATATTATTTCTATATTGTTTCTTTGTATACAATTTTCAGTGTGAAAGGAAAAAAAGTATAAAAACGAGCTAATCGGCGCGTGTACTCCCGGGAGTACACAATTCGCCGAGAGCGGAGCTTTTTCGTGTTCAAAACCCCGCCTCGAACGTGTTAAAATACCAATCCGTGTTTTTTGACTTTTTCCACTTGATTCCCTTTCTCCGTACTCCCTCCAACAACGGCGCGCTTACAAGTGGCCGCACCGAACAGCCATTGATCGCCATC